TATAATTTAAATTATATAAATTAATAGCTTTATTAAATATATTAGAAAAGATTTAAAATAATAATAATTTTCTATCTAAGCGACTACGCGAAGAATAACTTTTTTTCTTTAAAATAAATAAAAATAAAAATAAAGAGATTTATAGAAATAGTATTAGATATAATAATCGAATTAATATATATAATTTAGAGTTAGAATAGAAATAATATTATTAATTTTTTATTTCTTAATATAATAAAAATCTTTAATAAAATCTTTTATTAAAAATTATTTTATAATCTTAGAAGGAAAAAGATTTTAAATTTATTAATAAGATAAATTAAAAGCTTTTTAAAAGATAAAACTATTTTTATTATATTTAAAGTAAATAAAATTAATAAAATAGATATTTTATAAAGACTTCTAAATTTATTAATTTTATTTCTAATTTTTAATATATTATTTATTAAGAAATATTTAAAAACTAAATTATAGTTAATAGATTAAAAGATTTATAAATAATATCTATTTATTAAAAAATATAAAAATATAAAGTTTTTAAATAGATTTATAAAATTTATTTTAGATAAATAAAATTATATAAAGCGACTTTCGCTTTTAAGAAATATAAATTAATATATCTTATTTATAGTTTAAGAAAGTTTCATATAAAAATACTTATTAATTTAAAGATTATAATTATAAAAAATTAAAAGAAGTATTTAAATTATAAATTTTTATTTTAATAATTAATTTAAAAAAAATTGTATTAAAAAAATTAGAGCGAAGATAATTTTATAATATTATTAAGTATTATTAATAAGTATTATATTTAATAAAATAAAATAGATATATAGTATTAAAATAAGATTAATAATATAATATATATTAAAGAAGTTAAAAGAAGTTTAAGAGATATATATAAATTAGCTAAAAATGATTTTAAATAACTATTTAAAAGAGTTATAGAAATATATAAAATAATTAATATATACGAGTTTAAATCTATAAGTTAAATTTATAACCTATTTTTTTAAATTAAAACTATCGAGTAAATTTAATAAGCGAACTTTAATAAGCGATATTTAAATTCTTTACTTTTTAATAATTATAAGACTAAATTTTAGAATTCTTAAATTACTATTATATGTAAATTACGTTCTATAATTTAAAAAAGAATTAAATCTTTTTAATAGAAAATAGTAAAGTTATTTTAAATTTAAATAATATATATTAATTTTTATTTATTAAGAGCTGTCGAGTAAATTTAATAAGCGAACTTTAATAAACGATATTTAAATTTCATATCTTTAAAGAATTATAGAATTTTATTATTATTAAAAAGCGTAAGTTACGGACTATAATGTAAAAAAGAAATTAATAAATTTTAATAAAAGATTAAGAAGTTACTAAACAATTAAAAGTAGAGAAATAATATTTTAATAATTACGAATATTAATTTATTTATTCGTAATATCTAATTAAAAAGCGTAGATCTATTAAATTTATAACTAATTATATATATAAATTTAAGATTTTCTAATTTAATTCTATCTTATTCTATTATATATACTAATTATTTTATAATTATATTACGAGTTTAGATTTATAAATTAAATTTATAATCTACTTTCTTAAATTAAAACTATCGTATAAATTTAATAAACGAACTTTAATAAGCGATATTTAAATTCTTTACTTTTTAATAATTATAAGATTAAATTTTAGAATTTTAAAATTATTATTATTATACGTAATTTATACTTTATAATTTAAAAAAAAAGTTAAAAATTTTTAATAAAAAATAAAAAGTTATTCTAACTTATAAAAATATATATTAATTTTTTTTATTTAGAGCTATCGAGCAAATTTAGTAAACGATATTTAAATTCTATTTCTTTATAGAATTCTAAGATTAAATTTTATAATTTTATTATTATTAGAGAGTATAAGTAGTAGACTATAATTTGAAAAAATTAATAAATTTTAATAGAGAATTATAAAGATATTAAACGATTAAAAGTAGAAAAAGAATATTTTAATAATTACGAACGTTAATTTATTTACTCGCAATATCTAATTAAAAAGCGTAGATCTATCGAATTTATAATTAACTATATATATAAATTTAAGATTCTCTAATTTAGCTTTATCTTATTATATTATTAATATATATAATAGAATAAGATAGAGCTAAGTTAAAAAATCTTAAATTTATATATATAGTTAATTATAAATTTAAGTTCGCTACGCTTTTTAATTAGATATTATAAATTAATAAATTAACATTCGTAATTATTAAAATCTTTTTTTCTACTTTTAATCTTCGAATAACTTTACTATTTTTTATTAAAATTTAATAGTTTCTTTTTTTAATTATAGAGTCTAATTTAAGCTTTTTAAAAACGAAAAAATATTAAAATTTAATCTTATAGTTCTTTAAAGGTAAGGAATTCAAATATCGCTCACTAAAGATCGCTTACTAAAGACCGCTTATCAAATTTACTCGACAGCCCTAATCAAAAAAAATGGTTATGAATTTAATTCAAAGGCCTTTACTCGTATATACTAATATTTTAAAGATAAAAATATAGATTTTTTATTATAAATTATTTTAAATAAAATAATATTAAAAAGTTAATTATAAGAGAAATATATTTAGTTAATTAGAATAAGTAATCTTTATATTAGAAAGAAGCTAAAAGAATAAAGAGAATTAGTATATATAAAAGAATAAGATAGAATTAAGCTTGAAAATCTTAAATTTTTATATATAGTTAATTATAAATTTAGAGTTACTACGCTCTTTAATTAAATCGATTAAATTATCGCGAATAAATAAATTAGCGTTCGTAATTATTAAAGAAATATCGCTTATTAAAGTTCGCTCGATATTCGAATAGTCTTAATTAAATTATAAATATATATTATTTAATTTTAGAATAACTTTTTTATTTTCTATTAAAATTTTAAGATTTTTTTTAAATTATAGAATAAAATATAAGCTTTTAGAGAAAAAAATTTCTTAAATTTAGTCTTATAATTATTAAAGCGTAAGAAATTCCAATATCGCCTATTAAAGTTCGCTTATTAAAGATCGCTTATCTATTTACTCGATAGCTCTAATTAAAAAAATTATTATAAATTTAATTTATAAACCTTTACTCATTTTAGAATAACTTTTTAACTTTCTATTAAAAAAATTTAATTCTTTTTTTAAATTATAGAACGTAATATAGGCTTTTAAATAGAAAAAGTATTTTTAAATTTAATCTTATAAATATTTAAAGATAGAGGATTTAAATATTACTTATTAAAAACTTATTTAATCTATTAAGAATATTATTTTATATAAGCTTAAATAGTCGAGTAGTAATAATTTTAATAAAATTCGAAACTATTTCGCTTCGTCCTCGGTTCGAACCTATAAATCTCCCTCGCTAAAAAATCGTAAAATTATAAAGATTATAAAATCGTAGAAATTGTAAAATTAATAAAAATTCTATAAATTATAAAAATAATTAAAATAATAATTAAAATAATAATTAAAATAATAATTAAAATAATAATTAAAATAATAATTAAAATAATAATTAAAATAATAATTAAAATAATAATTAAAATAATAATTAAAATAATAATTAAAATGAAAAATCTATAATAGATATTAAATTTAACTTCTTATTAATTAAATTGAAATTAATTTAAAGTTAAATAATTATCTAGAGATCTATTATTAATATAAATTCTCTTTTTTCTATTAAAATTTTAGTGATTTTTTTTTAATTATAGAACTTATTCTACGCTTTCTAATAATCTAAAGTTTATAAAATTCGATCTTAGAATTTTAAGTAAATCTTAAATTAAAGTATTTTTACTCTTCGAGAGTCGAATTTAATCTCGATATTAGAAGTAAAAACTTTTTATAAATTTAATTCATAGGTCTAAACTTATAAAGATATAAAATAAAAGAGATCTTAATGATAAAAAATTATCGATTTTAAGAGTTATAGAATTCGCTAATTAAAATATAATAGTAAATCTAGATAAAATCTAGTATATCTAATAGACGTAGAAGATAATAAGAGATTAGACAAATAAAAAGTAAATCTTATACTAGATATACTATTAATGAAAGAGCAGCCAAACTCATTCCGCGTCTAACGCGATTGCAGCTTCTGCGATGTCTACTGTGACAAAGAATGTCCACATCGACCTGGCAAACGTGGAGTGGATGAGCACGAGAAAATTGATCCCCTAGTGTTTGACACATATCGAATCATGTCGAGGCCTCCCGCGATCAAGGAGATCAAGAAGCCTCACACAAGAATGACGAGGACACGATATGGTTCGGCATTGGCCGAGACGGTGACCTTGACGCTGTATTCGAGAGATCCCAACCGTTACATGACAATAATGGGCGAAGGTGTTTCGGTGGCGCATCCAATCGTATATCCTCGACTAGTATCACTTGTCGGGCAGACAGATGATCCGTGCGGTGATTACAACAGTAGACCATGTAGCTTTTGGGACCCTGGTGAATCCTACATTGGAACTGCTAATTAATGGGAAGTTGCTATCTTTCAGGTGTAAGCTGGATGATGATGCTACTGCGCTTTCAATACGGTCAAGATCCACGGCAGAACTTCCCATCTCCGAAAACTGTGCTAAAGATCTCGCTTCTAACCCCTATGGGTTTTGCACACCCAGTCCTGTGGCTAGTGCGCTGCTTCAGTGCAGTATGAGTATTCCTTCTGATACCGCAGTAACCAAATCCACAGAAATGGCAAGTGATGTAGATCCGGAGATACACTACCCCCCGCATAAGCTGTCGACCAGGGATGTTTGATCCTTCGTATATAGCTACGGAGCCTTGGATCTGAGAATGGACTTAGACGCCTCATATTAATGTGGGCAAATTGAACGTGTATCTTGGTCAAAATATGCTTTGGATGTTATGTGTAGTTTCGGGTCTGATATGGACACGTGTGGAATCAAGATACGTAAATTTTGCTTCTCTATCATATCGATCGAAACATCCTACTAAGATCTGTACGTCGGATGCCATTCATCTTGCTTCGGTCTTCGGCGGCTTCCTCTTTGCTTCTTCTAAGTTCTCGTTTCTTCTCAACAAAGCTCTTAACCACTGAATATGAGCTGGGACAACGAGAGAGCTTGGGGAGGACAAAGAACATCTGGTAGAGAGAAGAAAAAGAAATGAAATTAGTTCTAGGCTTCAGCCGAACCGCACCAAGAATGTCCGAGCACCTGTTCTAGTCCGCCTGCTCGCCTTGTCCTTAAGGACTGAGAAGTCATCTGCTTCGTCCATCTGTTTCTGTACCTCGTCGACTTAGCTTGAGTTGCGACCCAGATTCAAGTACAAAGGACAAGATGCTCCATACGGCAAGCGCCAAGGTCAGTATTACTGGGATGCACCAATAGGCCTGCGGGTTTCCGAAGCTTGACTTCGATAAAGGTCTTGTCCAACCCATAGAGTCTGCAGCGGTTGATCGGGAATCGCCGTTCCGAAACCTTGATGGGAGCGCATAGTCTTGAGATCGAGTTACTAATGCGGGAATTTTGTCAGAGCCGTCCAGGTCTATACCAGAGGCTACTGTCTCGTCGTCGGTGTTTTCGGGGACCAGATCACGTGGCTGTTGCACGGCCGTTAAGCAAGACAAAACAGTGTCGGCTTTGTGTTGAGCCGCCGTATGTATTGGAGTCATACCGTATATGTCTTTCACGCGTAACAAGTTCGTAGGCCCGTGTGCTAACAGTGCTTGCACAGTAGATAATCTACCCAGTCTCGCGGCCAGATGCAGAGCGGTTTGCCCGTGGAGGTTTCTCGCCCAGATGTCAGCACCTTGGGTCACCAGCATCGGAATGATGCTGCTGGCGCGCTTGCTCTCAACCGCGTAATGTATGACTGTATTACCATATATATCTCTGCTGTTGATATTGAAGCTGAGGACCGAGTCACAAATATATTCAATAATGGCTCTGTTGCCTCGTTGTGCAGCGAAATGTAACATTGATTTTCCTTCCGCATCAGCTATGTGAAGATTGACTTTGCTGGATTTGTGGTACAGTCCGAAGAGATCGCCAGTGGTCTTGCTGGACCAAGCCAGGTAGTGCAGCAAATTCCTGCCCCTGTTGTCTTGCTGGGAAAAGTCAAGATACGATCCATGATAGCGTAAGACTTGCTCAACCACTGGGCTGAAGAAGGTGTGTAGAGGCGTGTGGCCACCAGCATCCTCGTTATCAAGATCTGCACCGTTGTCAAGGAGTATCTGGCATATCCGGTAGTCCTTCGACAGTGAGACGGCACAGTGGAGAGGAGTTCTGTTTCGACCTTTAGTGATATGGAGCTAAAGGACACACTCGAAAACAGAGACTCACTCTCCGAAGTCATTCTTCGCATTCACTTTGGCACCTTTTCGAAGGAGATATTCCACCAAGAGAAACTGGTCTTGCGAGGCAGCAAGCTAGATCGAAATCAGTACACCTACATAATCAGGACACCCAGTCCTACAAGCGAAGCTCGAGACATACGTGTAAAAGAGTTGAACCGTTTGGTAGTACATCGAAAGGCGTTAAGAACAGGGTATGCAAGCTCGTTTTGACAGCATCTGCATCCCCCACCAAAGCCAAACGGACAATCTCCGACTCCCAGGGTAGAATCCTCGGTAGCGACAAGTTCCAGTGGGTAGAAAAGCCTAGACTAGGCTCTTTCCATTTTCTCTGAAAAGAGCCAGCTAGCTCAATTCTGAACGGACAATAACGATGTACTGTCATCGCAAATCCGAATCCATACCCAACAGTAAATGCTAATGGTCTGTAACAAGAGCAAGTATCATCGTTCCGTCGCTGCTCAATGACTGGTCCAAGCCACAGAACAGCGCGCCAGGGAAGGTGTTCGAAGTGCCTCAGGAATTGACTTCTTGGAGGACTCGTTCCCGCGCAGCTCCTCCGATGTCCCAATAAATGACATCGGCAATTGGACGAATCGAGACGCTCGTTGTTGAAATTATCCGGGCGGTGTGTTGCAAGGGACTTGGTCGATATCAAGCACGTACCAGCGAGTGGAGATTGGTAGCTTTCGTTGTACATTCTTTGAAGTACCCGGTGTGGTTCCACCACATCTTCTGACCTTAGCTGCGGTGGAAGACGAAGAGAGCGTTGGGTAATAGGGAGTTGGTCGCTCTCTATTCCCAGGAAACCGCCTCTAGATCGATCAGACATATCTTCGAGACTTTGTTGGCCTATTCCAACATTCGCTAATTGGCAACGCTTCTCTTGGCAGGATAGGACATTCTCTCTGGGACGAAGGCCCAAGCGACTAAGGGCTATCAGGTTTATCTTGAGCAGTAAGCATGGGGCCTTGAACTCACATATTCAGTAACAGCAAATCCAGTGAGAAGGTTGTATGATAGGAATTAATTCGAGCCAAAAGCTTCGTCATCCTATGCCTTTGATTTGGGGAAGACCAACGTATCCGCGTCCACGTTCTTCTAACTCTGTCTCCTTTCGACTGAAGGTAAAGTGGCTTCACGAGTCTCTCCATATACTGAAGGTCAAGCATACATTCCTGCAATCTATCTTTGAATACCGGCGATGTTGGTAGATCAAAGGGTAAAGCAGTCTCAAGGGTGATTATCGTCCTGAAAGTTGCTTGCAATGCTTCAAGTGCTGCCATATGGTGTCGGAGGTCTTCTGGAGCTTCTGAGAATGAGCTGAATACTTGATAAAGTAATTCACAAGTTTGTGCAGCGGAACCGACCACTGCCAGAACGCTGGCGGTAGCCGATAGTGGGTCACACATCTCAGCTTGCTGATAGTGATCATTGTTCAAGCTCTGCTCTCATTATTTGGGAGGGCGCCGACTTCCATTGTGTATGATATTTGTTCGTCGGTTTGATTGTTTGAGATCAAAATGAATTTCCCTCGATAGACTCGCTGATCCAGGAACTACGAAAAATCAAGTATGTAAAGTATTGTGGCTGATGAGAATAGTTGTAGCCTGTGACGAGTACCTAACCAAGCGCTGCAAAAACAGGCGTTAATTAGGCTACCTATAATGCAACCCCCTTGTAGAATAACTTTAGGAGGAGTTTTGTTAGAGGGATGTAAGAGTGCCAGATGACTAGCTTCATAGAGAGGGACCATTGCACAACAAGAAGATTTTGGAAACTTAACGAGTGGTGCCTCCCGCATGTGCTACGATTGCGCCTGATTTCTGTGACATAGAAGCAGCCTGTACGTCCTCATAGCCTTGAAGCCCAAAGCCGACTCTTCCCGCATTGCGATTGGAGGTATCACCACTTCTTCTCAACAATCGTGGGGTCTAATCAGGCTCGGCGAGTCGTTGGCCCCCACGTCAGCTTGCATATCGTGCTAGTGAAAAGGCTGCGCAAGACTTCAGTGATACGAAGGTCGGCCATCCGCACGTCCAAAGTCGTAGTTCAAGGAAGACCTTTACTTGCGTAGGCACTATCTGACTCCAAAAACGCCGAGTCTTCAGCGGCGACGATGCCCAAAGCTCCACCCCCTAGTCCACCTGTGGACAGCATCGAGGCAACCAAGTACGCATTTCAGGACAATGTGTACTATCTACAACAAGGTACAAGTGAGAATATCCAGCGTCCTATGGGTCGGCAGTCACTGAGATTGCATATCTTGCAGGTGTGTGGAGAAAAGGAGAAGTAAGGCAGCAGGAAGGGAGCAGCGAGGAAAGCCCACGTTACTTGGTGGGGACCCGATATTCCTTCAGTCAAGGCTACGAGGCTGACTTGTTTTGCTCATCAGATTAAGGATGAGGCTACCCAGCAGATTTACAAAATTGCGACTTCGGATATGAGGAAGCGGCCTGGTGCTTGATATTTAACGCCCTTGTGTTGGCTTTCAGGGGCTTGGGGTAATCACTGAGATGTGACCGCTGGAGCCACCCAATTCAAAGTATGGGCCTATGTTGAACGGGAGGATAGGTTGCTCGTTAGACAAGACCTTCAGGAAATTTGCGTATGAAGTCTTAAGCATAGTCTTAAGGCATGAAGGTTTTCCTACTACCATATCCTATGCCACCTTTGCGTGCCTGGTTGTGCGACTGGTTCTCAGACCGGGCAAAATTACCGAATCATACCCCGAAAGCATGAATCCTTATCGAATCATACCCCAATATCAAATTGCATCCAAATATAGAATATAATTCGATAATTTATTATTACTTAAAGTATAAGTTAATGAGTTATTAAAGTAAATTAAATTAAAAAGAAGATAATTCGCGATTTAGTTTATTTAATTATAGAAGTAAGTAAGTTTCTTTAATTATATTTATAAGTATTTTATTAATTTAAAAAAAGTAGATAAAAGAGTTAAATTAGTAAGATTTCGATCGCGAGAGTTAAATATAATTACTATTATATCTTATTAAATTATTATTATCGATATTCTTATTATAAATTAATTCTTTATATTTAATATTAATATATATAATAGAATAAGATAGAGCTAAGTTAAAAATCTTAAATTTATATATATAGTTAATTATAAATTCGAGGTTATTACGTCTTTTAGCTAGACTATTTAAATTAGCTCGCTAGCTTTCTTAAGCTCTCTTATTAAAAAAATAGATATATATTATTAACACATAGAATAACTTTTTTATTTTCTATTAAAATTCTAAGTATTTTTTTTTAAATTATAGAACGAAATATAGGCTTTTAGATAAAAAAAGAATTATAAAATCTAATCTTATAATTATTAAAGCGTAAGGAATTTAAATATTACTTATTAAAGTTCGCTCGATAGCCGAATAGCCTTAATTAAAAATAGATATATATTATTTAATTTTAGAATAACTTTTCTATTCTCTATTAAAATTTTAAGATTTCTTTTTTAAATTATAAAACGAAATATAGGCTTTTAGATAAAAAAAGAATTATAAAATCTAATCTTATAATTATTAAAGCGTAAGGAATTTAAATATTATTTATTAAAGTTCGCTCGACAGTCGAATAGCTCTAATTAAAAAATAGATATACATTATTTAATTTTAGAATAACTTTTTTATTCTTTATTAAAGTTTTCTAATTCTTTTTTTAAATTATAGAATAAAATATAAGCTTTTAAATAAGAAAAGAATTCTTAAATATAGTCTTATAATTATTAAAGCGTAGGGAATTCAAATATCGCTTATCAAAGATCGCTTATTAAAGATCGCTTATCTATTTACTCGATAGCTCTAATTAAAAAAAAAATTATAAATTTAATTTACAAATCTTTACTCGTATCTTATTAATAAAATTCTCGCTTAAGTAACTTATAGATATAAATTATATCGAAATATTTATATAAGAGCTAATTATATACTTCGCGAGTAACGTTAATATATAGATCTTTTAATACTTATAAGCGATCTTTATAGTAAAGTATCTTATTCTCTATAGAGCACTTATTAAACGTAACTTCGCGAAGTTTATTTTTATCTTTCGTAATTATTTTATAAATCTTATTATAAAATTTATTAATCTTATTTTTTAAAATTATTTTATAAAAGATAAGATTATTAATAGTATATATTTTAATATTAATATTATTAAGTTTTAAATAATTAAATATAAGTATTATCTAATATTACTACTTTAATTATTTATTTTTAAAACTATTTAAGTTAAAATTAATTATATATATAAGCGTATTAATCTTAATAATTTAAGATTTTAGATAATAAATAATTTTAATATTAAATTTGAATAGTATATTTAAATAGCGAGCTTAATAATAGTTTAGATCTCTTTCTTTAATAAAGTATATTAAGCTTTTATAATCTATAAAGATCTTAATAGAGATATTAATATTCTAGATAGCGAATAATAATTAAATTTTTATTATTATAGATCTAATAGTTATATTTAATTAAAGTAAGATTTTTACTATAGAAAGCTATTAGATATTAGATTCTATTATAATTATATTAAAATAGAATATTATTATTAATATAATTAGAGAAATCTATTTCGAGTATAATATTTTTCGATTTATTAAAATAGTATAGAATTAAAGCTTTTATAATAATTATCTTTAGTAAATAAAAGATTTTTTAATAGATTAGTAATTAATTAAATATTACTTTCTTAATTATAAGTCTTATTATAAATTTTATAATATTTAAAAAATCTCTAATAAATTAACGATAGAAGTTATAAAAGTTAATAAAGACTTATATCTCTTTTAAATTAATAGAGATAGATTAGTATATATAAAAGAATAAGATAAGACTAATCTAAAAAATCTTGAATTTATATATATAGTTAATTATAAATTCGAGTTCGCTACGCTCTATAATTAGATCGACTAAATTAGCTCGATAGTTCTTCTAAGCTCTCTTATTAAAAAAATAGATATACGTTATTAATATATAGAATAACTTTTTTATTTTCTATTAAAATTTTAATTTTTTTTTTAAATTATAGAATAAAATATAGGCTTTTAGATAAGAAAAAGAATTTCTAAATTTAGTCTTATAATTATTAAAGCGCAGGGAATTTAAATATCGCTTATTAAAGTTCGCTCGATAGTCGAATAACTCTAATTAGATATATATTATTTAATTTTAAAATAACTTTTTTATTTTCTATTAAAATTTTAAGATTTTTTTTTAAATTATAGAATAAAATATAAGCTTTTAGATAAAAAAAGAATTTCTAAATTTAGTCTTATAATTATTAAAGCGTAAGGAACTCAGATATCGCTTATTAAAGTTCGCTTATTAAAGATCGCTTATCAAATTTACTCGATAGCCTTAATTAAAAAAAAATGATTATAAATTTAATTTATAGATCTTTACTCGTTATTTAATAATAACTTAAATTTTAATAAAGTTTATTTAAAAATTATTAATCGAAATAAGAAGATCTAAAAACTTCGTCTCTTAGATATAAAGTTTATATTTAAGAATATCTATTTATAATTTAATCTTTCGTAGCTTTTAAGAAATCTTTCGAAATTATATAATATATTTCTTTCTCGATTAACTATAAATAAGAATATTATTAAGATAGACTTAATAGAAGTTATTTAAATATTTAAATAGAATATTATTTATATATTATTAATAGATAATTAGACTATTAATTAGATTAAAGAAAAGTACTTAATACTTATATATATTAAAAAAGATAATAAATATAATAAAATTTTCACTATCGAGATATATATGTAATTTATTAAATACGACTATAATATTTAATCGAGTAAGATATTTATAACTTTAAATTTTTACGAGAATCTTATCTATTAATAAAATTAAATATCGATTTCTCTTAATAATAGTATTTAGTCTTCGATAATTTATATAAAAGCGTAGATTTTAATTTAGTTTTTTAATAAATAAAATAAGAGATATAAACGAAGTATAATTAGATATTATAAAATTCCTTTCTAAATACTTATCTAAATACTTCTTAATCTATTTTAACTTATATTCTAATATAAAATAAACTTAACTCTTTAATAATTTAACGATATCGATTTTAATAAATTTTAATTTATAATTATAAAGACGATATAGTAGAAGTTCGTTTATCTTTATTCTATCGAAAATATTTAAAAAATTATAATATTTAATAAAGAGTTTTTATTTAATATCTTTAGAGCTAATAACTTTAATAGCGCTAATTTAAATAAAGTAATTTAATTTATAGTATCTTTTATATTTCTTTTCTAAGTTATAAGAATATAGCTTATTAATTAATATCTAAAAATTACGTAGTTTTTTTCGAGAAGATAACTTCTTTAATAATAAGTTATAGATCTTATTTATAATAATAATAAATAGTTAATTTCTCTTATTACGCGCTAATTAATAGTATAATATAATATTAATTTCGATAATATTAATAAATTATAAGTCTATATCTTATTTTTATCTTATATTTTTAAAAGTAGATATAAATTCCTTTTTATTAATTAGTTCGTTAAAGATATTTAAATTAATAGTAAAGTTTAAGTTATTATTATATATAAGTTAAGAGAAAAATTTCTTTTTTAAAATAATCTATTAAATAAAGAGCTTCGATTTTAAATTTAATAAGATAGCGAGATTCTTTATTATTAAGATCTTATTATCGTTATAATTATAGCGATCTAATATAAAAAAAATCTTATCTTTTATTATATCGAGAAATATCTTATACTTATTTATCTATAATTTTTTTAAAATTGAAATTATATATAAGAGAGATAATAAGTATAGAATATATTTTCTTTTAATATTTATTTATTATTATTAGTAAAAAAAAATAGTAGATAATAAACTTCTTCGCGATTTAATAATTCTTAAGAGATTTAAATTTTAATAGAGAAATTAATTCTAATAATAGTTCTTTATAAACTCTATAAACTAGAGACTTATTAATAACTATATATATTCTAATATACTTATTATTAATAAAAGCGTTTTAAAATAAGTATTTTTATTCTTATAATAATAGCGTAATCTATATTTTAAAAAAACGATATATTAAAGAATTATTAAGAGTATTTAATAAATATATATTATAAATACTTCTTATTATAATTTTAATAGAGGCTATTAATTTCTTTAATTCTTAGAAACTTTATAAGCGTTAGATAATGAATTAATCTTATATTCGTCGTCGATAATAAGTTTATAAATTCTTATATTTTATAAGATCTTTTTATTAATATTAGTTTATCTCTATATTAGATAATTTTATCTTAAATAACTTATTTCTCTATAATTAAAATATATAAAATTCTTTAAATCGATATCGATTCTTATCTTTAATATAATCTAAAAAGTATTTAAGATATAAATATTTAATATAATAATAAAAGATATATAATCCTCGAATATAGCGATAATTATCTTTTTTATTCGAGTTATAATAATTCTAGAAATAATTTTATAAAAGACTAGAGTCTAATATCGTTTATAGCTTATATACTATAAGTTATTATTATTTACGAGTAAAGGCCTTGTTACGGATATAGTGTGCTTTAGGGGATTCTTGCTGTTCAGGCAGGGGTCCACGCTCTTTTGGCGCTTTGGCGCAACGGTTAGCGATAAGGCACGCTTTTCCGTGACAAATGGTAGCAACACCGGTTCGATTCCGGGTGTGACCCGGACAGTCTGAATAGGTTACTTGGCCCGCATAGTGTATTGGCAGCACGCCAGGCTCATAACCTGGAGGAGGAGTGTTCGAATCCCCTGCGGAGCATCAGGCCACAAGTAGCTTACGGGGTCACACCCGGGGGGTTCCTATATACGATACTTATGCGTGTAGGCCAGCGCATGAGGACATGCGCCATTTTTCGAAGTGTGCAATTGTTACGGATATAGTGTGCTTTAGGGGATTCTTGCTGTTCAGGCAGGGGTCCACGCTCTTTTGGCGCTTTGGCGCAACGGTTAGCGATAAGGCACGCTTTTCCGTGACAGGCCTATGAATTAAATTCATAATCATTTTTTTGATCAGGGCTATCGAGTAAATTTGGTGAGCGATCTTTGGTGAGCGATATTTGAGTGCCTTGCCTTTTAATAATTATAAGACCGAATTTCAAAATTCTTAAAGCATTAAAAAGCGCAAGTTGCGGGCTATAATTTAAAATAAGAATCTAAAAATTTCAATAGAAAATAGTAAAGTTATTAAAGGGTTAAAAGTAGGATAAGAGATTTTAATAATTACGGACGCTAATTTATTTCCCCGCGATGACTCAGCCGGTCTAACTAAGAAGCGTAGCGAATTCGAATTTATAATTAGCTATATATACAAATTTAAGATTTTATAGCTTAGCTCTATCTTATTCTTTTATATATACTAATAAGATATTTCTTAATATTTTTTAAGAGTATAGATTTTCGATTAGAAAGACTTATAAAAATAATATAAAGTTAAATATATATTTATAACTTAATATCAAAATTATTTCTTAGATAGATTTCGTTATAATTAAGTATAAAATCTATTAAAGAACTAGATTATCTATTAAAGAAAATTATAATCTTATCTTATTTTTTTATAATAATTTATTTCTTTATAGATCTTAGCTGTCAGGAGACAATGTGACTATGTCATGATTTGGGTGTGTGGTGTAAAGATGTTGATTATTCTATGTGCCCACAGGGCAGATATGTGCGGTGCCAAGCCACGCTAGGCCCAAATGGGTGGTGGCTCTGGAGGAGGCCTTGGCGTACCGTGACAACATGCCCGCAAAGAATGAAAAAAAGACACGTCCTCGTGGCTGCATCTCTGGATAGCTACATCAATCATGCGCCGTCCATATATCCATGCACCTATCCTTGGCCTATAGCCTCCATATCCTTCGCGAATCGAATGTAGCCGAGCGGAGAGGCGAAAGTGAGAAGAGAGGCGAGTTGAGAGGCGAGAAGAGAGGCGAGAAGCGAGGTAGAAAGTGGATTACTGCTGAGGCGAGGGGAAGGATCTCCGCAATTCTGCATAGTGGCCTGGTGTGGGATTGTGGAGAGTGTGCCCGATTGAATAGGACTGGTGCTGCCCATGCTCTTGTTCTTCTCCGTAAATTTCTCCGCAATTTTCTCCATATTTGCCTGTTGCAATGGCCTATGCGCTTGTTCCTGCTTCGGTGGCTGTGCCGGCTTTGGCGGAATGACTGCTTGCTTTTGCTGTGGCTGCAGTGGTCCAAATCGCTTATCAAGTGCCGTGTCAAGCGCTTCCTCTATGAGCTTGGTAATGGAGCGGACTTGCTCTGCTGAGAAGCCAGGGATCGTGATCTCGCTGCTGTTGAGAGGCATAGCGACTGGCCTATTGAAAGGATCGCTTAGTGGACGGTGGGGTCGTGTAGCGACTCGTGGGACTGTGAGTACTGGTGTAGGAGCGTACTTGGTGTTGAGGTAGGTGGGGTCCTAGGGGAGGAGTAGGCAACTGGTGTGGGAGCGAAATAAACTTAATAGACGCCTGTTGAATGATCTTCAGGTGTTGCTACCATGTTGTCAGGAGACAATGTGACTATGTCATGATTTGGGTGTGTGGTGTAAAGATGTTGATTATTCTATGTGCCCACAGGGCAGATATGTGCGGTGCCAAGCCACGCTAGGCCCAAATGGGTGGTGGCTCTGGAGGAGGCCTTGGCGTACCGTGACATTAGCTAGTTAATTTATAATCTCGCTAATTAATATATAGAAGTTTCTAATACTTCTATATCTTTTATTTAAAATATAAAAGATTACTTTCTTATCTATCTATAATAAGAGATAAATATTTTAAAATATTTTAATAGAATAATAATTCTTATTACTTAATAACTTTTTCTTTATTTTAATTAATTAATTCTCTTATTTGAGATTTTTATTATTAATAAAAAAGAAAGAATTTAATAGCTTAATAGACTTTTTTTTTCTATAAATAAAGAGTAGAATTTAAATAGACTTTAATAAGATTAACGCTTATATCTTAATAATAGTTTATAAATTCTTAAATATATATTATTATAATATATTTAGCTATTATTAAAGCGTTCTATTATATTTCTATAGCTTCTTAATCTTAATATTAACTTACTCTAAGCGTTATTAAATCTTATCTTATTAATTTACTATCTTATTCTTTTTAATCTTAAAATTTATATATTATTTAGCTATATTTCGAAATTAATCTTATTAATAACGAAGATTATAAAGTATAATAAGAAATTAATTAGACTTCTTATCGATTTAATAGCGTAATTAATTAATATTAATAATCTATTATTAATTTACGAGTAAAGATCTATAAATTAAATTTATAATTTTTTTTTAATTAGAGCTATCGAGTAAATAGGTAAGCGATCTTTAATAAGCGAACTTTAATAAGCGATATTTAATTTCCTTACGCTTTAATAATTATAAGACTAAATTAGAATTTTTTTTTTCTCTAAAAGCCTATATTTTATTCTATAATTTAAAAAAAAATCTTAAAATTTAAATAGAAAATAAAAATGTTATTTTAAAATTAAATAATATATAAGAGTATATAGTAAAAGTTATATATAGAGAGTTATTCGAACTTTAACTTTTTTTAAATTCTATAATAATAGCCTTATAGAGCTAATTAAAAATTTTTACGAAGAATTATTAATTTCTCTACTATAGAACTTAGAAAAAATTAAAGTTCGAATAACTCTCTATATATAACTTTTACTATATACTCTTATCTATTTTTTAATTAAAGCTATTCGACTATCGAGCGAACTTTAATAAGCGATATTTTTTTAATAATTATAAATATTAATTTATTTATCTATAATAACTTAGTCGATTTAATTAAAGAGCGTAATAACTTTAAATTTATAATTAGCTATATATATAAATTTAAAATATTTAAGCTTAGCTCTATTTTATTCTTTTATATATACTAATAATAGTTTTAATATTCTCTACTATATTATTAGATAGTAAGAACTATTATTAATTAAATATCTAAATAAGAAGATTATTAATTTAATTTATCTTATTTAATTATATATTCGAAATTTATAATAAGTTTAAAATAAAAAGAAGAGAGTTACGTTATTTCTCTCGAGTTTTTAATATTATAAATATTAAGTAAAGAAGAGAAAATAAAAATTTCTTATAATATCTTTTATAAGACTTTTATATAAATTCGAAAAATAGTATTATATTTTATAAAGACTTTTTTTCTTAATTTATAGATTATTTAAACTATCGTAAAAAATTATAAATAATTTTTTTTTTTAAATACTTTTACTTCGCTTAAGAGATTAATTATATAGTTATTAAGTTAGATAGCGATTTCTTTAAATTTATTAATCGTATAAATAAACTAATCTAATAATTACTTTATTTCTCTAACTAATTATAAAATTATTACGCTATTTTAATAAATATTCTTTATAATATATTATCTATAAAATAACTTAACTTAATATCTTATTAAAGTCTCTATTAATAGATTTCTTAAATTTATCTATTAATTTAAATATAGTAAGTAAAGTAATCTAGTTATAATATTATTATATTAGAATTAAAATAGATATAATATTAATATAGATATATTAAATAAGATAATTAGATATCGAATAAATATATAAATAGAAGATATTAAATAATAGTAGATATCTCTATTAAGATACGCTAGACTCTAATAGATAATAGAATTAAATAATATATTAAGAGTAATATAGAATACGCTCGTAATAGACTAGATTCTAAGTATAGTATAAAATTAGATAGCTGGAAAATACGATAACTTAGATACGTAAGGGCTAAATTTTAATACTTCTCTATAGTTACGCTTCTAGTTTACTTATTAAATAAAACTATATATAACTCTTATTAACGATAAGAGATTATTCATAATAGACTATTTTAGTTTTAATAATAATAAACTATTTTAATTTTAATAATAATAGATTATTTAAGTTTTAATAATAATAATAATAATAATTCGATTATTTAAGTCTTAATAATAATAATAGATTATTCTAGTCTTAATAATAATAGACTATTTTAGCCTTAATAATAATAGGCTATTTCAGTCTTAATAATAATAGATTATTTCAGTCTTAACAACAGGCCATTTCAGTCTTAATAACAATAGGCCATTCCAGCCTTAATAATAATAGGTTATTCCAGCCTCAACAATAATAACAGGCTATTCCAGCCTCAACGCCCGTCAATGTAACAGACTCTTTATTCGAATAAGGGTTCTTTACGACGACGAGGGGTTTTTTGCGACGACGAGGGTTCTTTGTAACGATGTGACGACGTACTTATGACTCTATACCTGAATTAGTCTTGTAGGAAGCTGGCATTATAGCGACTTAGCCTGTATGCCCTGCAGATCGAGCTTATAACCTGTTAGAATATCAGGGATGTGATGGTAGAATGGACAGATTGATTCTCCAGACCTCTCCGGGGCCAGGTTCTAAGTACAGTACAAAATCAGGTGGCTGGGAAACACGGTGGCTGGGATGCGTGGGGGCCAAATTTCGACAAATTCGCCCTTCTCAGACCGCTCGGCTGCCGCTCGCCCATTCAGGAATCAGATTACGATCCAATGCCTGACACTAGTCACGGGTGCTAAGCTCGGCAGTGACTCTGAGCCCACGATTCAATAATGTGATACTTCACCTACCTTATCGGATCCTCGGGTCAGTGATGTTCTTCGTGCAGCTTAGGTATGACAATGCGTTAGCTCCGCAGGATTGGGCAGGGCGTAACGAAGTAAGGCACCGCGGTCAGACCGCTGTCAGACCGCCGCTCTATTCCTCGTTTCCTTATAAGATCTTGAGCCTTCTGAGATCTAACACAGCTACTAGAGCCCCTGTGACCCTCCGAAGAAGCATACATTATTCTCTCTTCGCGCCATGGCTGTGCACACGATTGCTATCATTGGAGGACTCGTGACTGATCTGTTGACCATCGCCGACCGTGTGCCTGACAGGGGCGAGACCATCACCTCTACCCGCTTCTCCACGCACCATGGTGGCAAAGGGGCAAATTCCGCCGTCGCAGCGTATCGGCTCAGCCATAATAATCCGAAGAACAGCGGCCACACTCCGGTAATGGGAGGCGAAACTCAAGTCCGCATGATTGGTGCCGTCGGAGCCGATGAATTTGGCCCTCCTCTCAAGGAGAAGTTAACAGCGAGTGGTGTGAACACTGACGGCATTCGCGTTGTCAAAGATCAACCAACTGGGGTGGGAGTTGTCCTTGTGGAGGAAGATTTTGGAGAGAACAGGATCCTGTTTCACCCAGGTGCCAATTATGACTTGCTACCGTCAGAGTTCACGACTCTAGCAAGCTTGGCCGGGGGCGTAAAACCGGATCTCCTTATCTCGCAGCTGGAACTTCGACGAGAAACTATAGAACAAGTAATTGAAACTGCGAGTCGAGAAGGTATTGACGTGCTATTGAATCCAGCGCCGGCATCTTATCTGATGCCTAGGATATATCGGATGGTGACGCACTTGATAGTGAACGAGACGGAGGCCGTGATGCTGTCACCTTCAGACATTGATCGTCAAGATGGATGGGCAAACGTTGGAAACTATTTTCTTCGGCTTGGAGTGAAGAATGTCGTTGTGACTTTAGGAGCACAGGGTGCTTACTACTTGAATGAATCCGGGGGTGGCTATGTCGAAGCCGAGAAGCAATGCATTGTCGTTGATACTACTGGTGCAGGGTACGTACTGAATCATACTCTACGCTGTTACTCCCTGTACAGTAGTCATCTTCTGGCAAGTTAAACTAACTTTGGGCATCACAGGGACACTTTTGTGGGTGCGTTTGCAGCGCAATATATCCAACAGATGAATACGCAAGGTTGGGATATCAAGCTCGCGGTAGAGTATGCATGTAAAGCATCCGCACGAACCATTGAACACGTTGGCTGCTTAGACCCAATCCCTTGGGCCGATGAAGTCAATATACCCAGAGCCTCTCTAGACGCAGACAAGACAAAAGATATGGCATGACTTCATGCTATCTCACACATCCCACACCGCGCTAGGAAATATCATCCGCACAAATACGCACCTGTTACTCCCGCAGCTCCTCGCTAGATACAAGATTTGGTATTTGTGGTCAAATATTTACTCCACACAAAATAGCGCCCGCTCATGCCTGAGGTCATTCACAGCTTTCTGGGACGCAGGCCTCTTGTTGTCATCCTTATCTATCATGCTCAAGATCTGAACCACCAACAGATCATTCAGGCCTTTTCGTTCAAATTGATTGAGCCATTTATGTACCTTCGGAAGGCAATCGCGAAACGCTGTCGAGCCATTTGTACATCGAGCACTCCGATAGTCTTCTAGCGATTGCTTTTGCGTAATATTGAACATCTCAGAATATACACAGCCAAGGGCAAAAACGTCGGCCCTACGGCCACGAGGATTGTTAGGGTATGATTCCGGCGCACGATACGCAAGACTTCCATGTACCTTCTGACTATGTGAAGCGCTAGTGACCTGTTCCGAGAGGTCCCTAGCAAGCCCAAAATCACATAGATATGGTTGATGATTCTTGATCAAGATATTCGAAGGTTTAATATCTCGATGCTTGATTTCCAATTTGTGCGCGTAGGCCAGAGCGTCAAGTAAGCATCCGAACCAGGGATATATTTGCTTTGTTAATGCCGCAGGATAATCTTCTCTCTCGCAACGACCAAAGAAGTGGAGAAGATCACTGTCTGCGACGGGTAGCATAAAAATACTGAACGCAGCGTCTTCTTTGAGATAAAATAGTACCGTCGCAATGTGCTGGTGGTGAAGTTTTTGCATGATCTGTACCTCGTTCCTCACTCCTTCCTCAATTGCTTCCTCGGAATCCTCTCGATCGAAGTGGATATGCTTTCGAGCATATGAAATTCCCGTAGTGAGCTCTCGGACTTCGTCTACCTCCCCGAATGATCCTCCTCCTAGTCTTCTCATCTCAACGAATCGCACTTGTATCTCTCGGCCAGAACTGTGGTGGAGAAGTCCCGGTAGAGTAAGCTGAGCATCAAGCGTTGGTTGCTCTATTTCCGACTTCGCTCGTTCTTCGTCCGACGCTGCTTGATTTGCTTGAAGATCAAATCTACCTCTTGCCTCCTCCAGCAGTGTGCCTGTTTCGCTGATGTTTTTCTTCAGGGCCGCATCTTGTGTAGGATCAAAGCCGGTTGCTTACAAAAGTCAATTATTGCAACTACGTCAGAAAGGATGTGGAGGGCGATGCACTCACAGCAGGACCTTTGCTCAAGGTTTCGAAGAACGAACAACTGTGCGTCGATGAACGCCGTATAGACTTCTTGTAGAGGCTTCTGCACCTTCTTCTCGTTGGGGAAACGGCCAATGTTCGAAGAGAACTTGGGTACCTTCAGGCACACATCGGCCAGCAGTGCTGAAAGCGGTCCAAGGCCAGCTCCAGCTCTGCACCCACTCTGTACGGTGTTAGTCAGGTAACACCTCATGGCAGAGCTCTTCACCTCAATCGCCGCGAACGAAGTTGACCAAATAAGGCCCTCGAGAGCTTCACTGGGCTCCAGACCACGCAGCTCTGGTACAGATCCACCGACTGCAGTAACTAGCTCAACAATGTTGTCGAAAGATGGTAGCAGCTTGGCCTCCAGTGGAGAAGCCTTTTTCTCTCGTCTCTTCTTGCAGAGCTGCTCGAATGCAGAACGAAAAGCAAATCCATCGGTAGGACTTCCGAACTTGGAGGGTTTGCCGTAGCCTTGCCCAATGATTGCGGTTACTTCTGTCCGTTTTTCTTCAAGCAAGGAGAGCCACGTAGCATCAGAGCCGCTAGACATGAAGAATGGCGAGTAAGAGCAGCAGCAATCTCATATCCGGAATTTGCGATTCGTTGACCAGGCCGGCCTTTATGTCACTATTCATTATTCGATCGGACAGTCCCCATACAGTAGTGGTAAAGAACATAATACGGAAGGATCAATACTATGCTAGCAGAGAAAGCGGGTAACAAAACGCTGAGGATGCTTGAGTCACGTTTTCAGGATACCTGGAAGCCGCCCCAATCGGAAGGGAGACCCGGAGGGAGACGTCTTGAACTACGATGCAGGAACCCTTACAGCCTTAAGCGTCACCTATCCAGCATGTTTGACGGTGGCGACAACAGTGAGAATACATGCTCTCGATACTTTGACGGGAACGCGCTTTCTAGATTACAGACGGCCCGTACGGGTGTCAGGAACATACATTGGCGTATTATGTATGATGTGTAACTGCGGGGCAAGGTGTACTCCACATCGTCACACTAGCCATTGCTTGAGCTAGCCATTCTTTTCACTGCTTCGTTATTTACGGTCACATTGTTATTGTCTCCATTCAGCTTCGGTTTTAATAGGACATCGAATCTACGTTCATAAATGAAATCTTACCTTCTCGCATGTATGGACAAGTAATCTATCGCGGGGTAGAGACTTTTAGGGCCGGAATTAAATGTGGCCATGCCTCTGCGTGGAATGGGATTGTGATAAATGCTAACTAAACGCGTGCGTTTGGATTTATAGTCCGCAAGCGCTACAAAAAGCCGGTTCTCATCCTTTCCTCTGTTTCCGCAGCTTCCAGCGAGCCCATCTAGCAGCGAGTCCGCTCAGATCCTGGGAGCTTGAGATGCCCAGTGTTCTCTAACCCCTCAGCACAGTATAGATATCTTAAAAAAGGCAATCAACTTCGGCATGACTAAAGCCATGCCGGCAATTCCTAGATCTTTGTGAATTGGAAGAGTATTTCAAACTCAGGAAGAGCAGGTCTGACGGCTGACCTATCCATAGCCCTTTGTTGACCATTTTGACCCTAATCAGAATATACTATACCCTGTCCACCAACCCCACCCGGCCACCACTCCCAAACATCCCACAGCCCATTCCCACCTCATCTCCACAATTGCCCATACCCACAACGTCCCCAATGGCGGTGCTTTTTTCATGACAGCCATATACGGATCTTCATTGTTAGCATGGACAAGCTAAGCCCCGGCTGCCATACTTAGAAATGCGAACAGTACCTGCGTAAGCAACTGTGACGACCGAGGATGTAGGATGGACACTAGTGTAAGAATCAGAGCCGGCGTAGGAGACGTGATAGTGCTGATGTAGAGGGTGGACGTAAGAGATAGTGGCGTAGTTGCGGTATTGATGATATACGAGGACAGTAAGGGTGAAGTGTAGTATTGTTAGGCTCGCCGTACAACCCTTCAAATATTAGACAAGAGATGGGCCCACTTGCTCTTGCCAGGACTCGCCGAGAGTTCCACTCCGGTTCCAACAGGAAGAGAAGATACGTGCTGCTTTGGGTCTGCATTCGATCAGTGTCCAAGGCTTCAATCATAAAACCAATACATGGCATAACTCACCGTGCGGCTTTGGTGTCTCGATGCTCTTGGAGATAATCAGTGGGCTTAGACGGCGACGGCTCTTAAACCACGCTATCAGGAAGTCAGTTAGGCAAGCAAACAGCAGTCATAGTCGCTTACCGTTGTAGTCTCTCTGACATTGATCCAACCACTTCGTATGCTATTTGGCGAGCTTCTTGGTTGCCTCCGCATTCTCGATCGCATCTTTAAAGCTAGCGAGCTCTCGCAACTTGATTGATGGCAAATGACTGAAAATAGAAGAATGGCTATGCTCATTTCTAGTGCCTTGGCAATCTTGGCGGATGGCAAACCCAGTGCCCGAGGGGCCACGCTCACCAAAAATCGTCTTTTCTTATTAATTACTTATAGAACAAGATTAGAAAAATCGTCTAGTTATTACATCTATACGATATTATTCCTCCTCATCGCATCGCCATCTGCCTCCTCATCGCTGAGCCCAGACGGCTTCACCGGGCTTCTTGCAGTCATCAGCTGAGGCACCGAGCCGCCCAGAACGCGCTACTAGTTTGATCGTAAGAGATGCCAGAGACATATCGTTAATACTGGTAATCAGAAGGCGTATCGTCAATACCGGTCTCCCTGTTTCTTAGGGGTTCAAGTCCTCTCTCGCAGTCATCAGCTGAGGCAACAGCGGAGTTCCGACACGGGCATCCTTTTGAATATCAACACGGGTACCCCCTAGCAGGAACAGCATGCTGGATCGCGCCCAGCGAAAACAGGGGAAATCGCTTATAAGAAGCACGCGATCGAGAAGCTATCACGCGTTCGGCGACGTGAACCGAAGCCGGTCTCTACTGGTGGATGTGTTAAGTCTGCTAACTATCGAATAGGGCACCCTTGGAGCACGACCGGTCCTCAAATCCTGGACCTCTTGGGAGTTCAAGTCCCCCCCCCCCCGCAGTCATCGGCTGAGAGCAGAAAAATATCTGAGATTGGGCTACCGCGTGCTTTGGTTAGTAGTGTGGAAATACTACAGTACGGTCGCTGGCAAGGGCGATATTGTAGCAGTCCCTGCGAGACACGGTCGGCCTGAATGAGGGAGACCTCTGAACGTAACGCGAAGCAGGTAAACCCTGTGGGCCGTGGCATGGAATGGCAGCCACTGTCAGTTATTTAGAGCTGAATGAGACTTTCTACTTGGCCCGAGAGGACAGTATACGCATGTCGGTACACTAAGAGCTATGAGAATCCAACTACCTCATGATGAGGGCCTGAGGTGGAGAGGAGAGTGAGCCAAAGCGGTGCCGTACACCTAGTTTCGTAGAAAGATACAGCGATTAAAAAGGAAGGTAGTGTTACGAGCGTACCCTACATCCTTGACATACCACTTAACCCTCTTACCCATTCGGGCCCAGCGTGTCTTGGCTGAGGCATCCATCTACCTTAGCGAATTGCTATGGCTTTATTTAACGGTAGATTTACGGTTTCTAAATAATTTCTTAAAAAACCTATATTAGTAAGCTGCCTCCGTCTTTAGATAATAAAGATTTTAATTTATTTTTAAAAAAGTAACGATTAAAATTCTTATTATATTTTTAAAATATAATAGTTTAACTAGCGTAGAATTTTTATATCTATCATTTAAATAAATTATCTATATAAGAAAATTATCTAAATTAATTTTTTTTAAAGTTAGATTTTTAAGAATACTAATTAATTTTTTTAATTAATACTTTTAAATATTTTACTTAATAAATTTAATAATTTTTTTCTATTATTTTAATTTTTACTTAATAACGTATTATATATAAATACGTATATTTAAATATATTATTTAAATATATTATTTAAATATAATTATTTAAGAAATATAATATAATATAAATATTTAAATAATATAATATAAATATAAGATAATTATTAATAGATAAATTTATATATTAGAATTATATAAATACGATTATTAAAACTTATAATACTTCGCTAAGATATTAATTAATTTCTTTCTTTTATTTATATAATTTAATATCTTAATTATCTTACTTAATATATTTATATTTATATTATATCTATATTAATTTTTATAAATAATTAATTTATAATAGATTTAAAGTATTAAAATTTTAATACTTATATATCTTTAGCTATTTTCTTAAATAAGAGCTTTAAATAAATATGATTTTATTTTAATCTTTATACTTATAGTTTTAATAAAGATATTAATTTCGTTAATCTTTTTATTATAAATTTTTATTATAAGAGAGTTATTTAAAATACGTTAGAGATTTAAATATTAATTAAAAAAATATTAAGAGAAATATTTTAATTATTATTATCTTTATTAAATTTAACTTAAGTTAATAAGAATTTAAATATATTTAATAAATATCTTTTCTTTCTAATAACTCTATTATTATATCTTTAAAAACTTTTTAAAACTTTTAAATAACTCTTATTAATTTATAGAGCTTAAAATATTTATAAGATTTTTATTTAAATGTTAATAAAATAACAATATTTAATAAGTAAAAATCTATAAATTAAATTTATAAAGTTAGATTATTTTAAATTTAATTAAATTTTATATTATTAATATATATAATAAGATAAGATAAAATTAAATTATAAAAATTTATATTTATATATATAATTAATTATAAACTCGAGTTTATTAGAATTAATATAGAGATATATTATATAAGTAAGATAGAATAGAATAATAAGACTATCGAACTATATAGATGAAAAGAAGATATAATATAGTAGAGAATCTCTTCGTTAAGACTCGCTAGTTATAGAGCTAAGTAATATATTAAGAATACGCTTATAATATTATTCTTCTCTCTTAAATAGCTATAGTTCTTATAATTAATAGATCGAAGATATAAACTTATTACTTATCTTATATCTCTAAATACTTATAATTTCTATAGACCTTAATTAAAGAAGATTTATCTAGGGTTCTTTAGAGAATTAGAAGATATAGAATATATCTTATCTATATATCTATAAGACTCTTTAAGCCCTTCTCTAATATTCTTATTATAGTCTTTTAAAAGAATTATTACTCGCTAAAATCTATAAAAACGAAGACTTTTAATATATACTATATTAGATTAATTTAATATCTTTCTTCGATAATAACGACGATAGTAATATCGATAAAGATTTTATAACGTCGATAGTACTATATTATAGCGTTAAGGAGCTCTTAATTTAACGAAGATCTATAAAGAATTAAATAAATAGTAGTCGAAAACGAAGTCTAATATCGAATAGCTATTTAATACTTATTTTTATAATCGTAAGAAAATATATAAAATAATGCGATCTAATTAATTAATTACTTTCGAGTCGAATTAAGCTATAGACGTTAAAACTTTAAATTAATATTAAATAGTCTAGTATAATTTTCTCTATATGAGTTTCTTTATAGAATATTATTTAATCGATAACGATTAAGACTATTAACGA